TGTTATTACAGATGCAATGTTTGCGAGGATATCTGGAACAGAATTATTTACTAAACTTCGTTTCCGACTTTCAGTTAGGAAGTGTTGGTTTTCCTTTTTTGTATTTACATGTTTCTTAAATTATCTATTGTGCATGAGCGTAGGGACGGGCGCAATTTTTCAATAACCATTTTCAAGTTATAAATAAGTCACTCAGTGTTTAGTTTATTTTTGGAAAGTAGAAATGATAATTAGAGTTAATAATATTATTAAATAAGTGCTAGCTACGAAATCTCAATGAATATTTACCCTGTTTCTTTCTATTTCATCACGATTGCCTTCCTGCGACAAAAGTTACAAGTAATTGATTCTTATCACCAATACTTGCGACAAGTACCGCTGGAAAATCTGAATAAAGGGTCTGACTTACATAATTCTTCTAATTCTAATTCGGAGAGGTTTTGAACTAGTGACGCTACGGCCGCGGCGATCACTGCTCCTCCAGCTCAGATGAAACTAGAAGATGCGCAATATTCAAAAGACCCAAGAAACAAGCACTAAAAAATATGTCCATCGATAAAAACATTTATTACTCATTCTCGCATTAGAAGAATTATTGACCAATCACTCTACTTATTTTCTATAGGAATCACGTGTTTTTGTGATGAAAGAAAACCCAATAATCTCTTCATACTGCTTATATTCGTTTATCACAAGTTTTACCTGAGTAACAAAAGTGTAAAATTTCTATTACATAGGTTTATTCTCATTCGACACTCAATGCAAATCTATACTTTTAGTATTTCGTAATGTAGGTCCGCTCTTTTAGAGCTATAAGCGTAAACTTTAGCTAGAAACGACGCGATTATTTACGAAATAGGTAGACAATGTTTAATCAGCCGTAATACACATTATTACGACGTAACATTAGTCTGTTGAAACATAACAATAAATGTGATACAACGTTTGCAACTCGTACTACTACATACGTGTCTGCGTATTTCATAAACACATGACTAGATTAAGACTATCCACTAATGCGAATGTTGAAGGCGATAATTATTGCTGACAAACTATTCACTAGATAAAGTTAACTAACTGATAAACTCTCAGCGACGTCACAACATTAAAATTAAACATTAACAATAAAATGCTGAGTAATATAACGACCGTTTATAAAACGTATTCAAATACACTTGACTTCCATTGAAAGCTAGCTACCGCTAATACATACATTGATTATTCGATAATTTATGGAGATCTACAGTTCAAAGTTATTGAAAACAACATCACGAATAACTAAAGCAGTCATCATGCAAAGATTGATGTCAGTTTTCTTAAAATTGAACCGACTACACGAGAATCAATGAATACGTTACACGTATTTATAGAAAAATGAGAATATTTTTAATATATTTTTATCATTATCATAGTTTTATATTATTATTACGTAGCTTATTGTCAAGCAAATCATAAATATAATTTTATACAATTTTATTAATTAATACTTACATCAAGCTTCTGAAAGTCTATTCCAGCTTTTAATTCAATCATTTAACGACATCCTCACAGGTAATATTTAATATTATTCTGACTTAAGTACTCAATCGTAATAGACTTTTAGAAACTTAAACGAATCAGATAACTACGAAAGTATCCACATCCAACTATCTACAATCTACTGTCTACAAACAAATGACCGTTTAAATGTATAATTCAATCTTCAATTTACACTTGAAGTTATTTAGCTATATTATGAAACATTTGTAAGTATGATTAATTTTTTTATAATAATCACTTTATTAAAACCAAAGCATTCATTATAAAAACTGCTAAAGCCTGGTCCGTGAGCACGTAGAATTTTGTCCAATGACCCCAAGCTACCCATCCTTATCGCTCACGCGTAATTATATTGCTGTCGCGACTGTGCGACGCGCGCCCGCTGTGAGTGTGCGAGCGCGACAGCAACATAATTACGTGCGAGCGACAAGGATGGGCAGCTTGGGGTCATTGGACGGGATTCTACGTGCTCACGGACCAGGCTTTAGGTGCATTCAGTTTTCAATCATCCATTGTTTTAGAGTCCATCGTAGCTCCCAGCACCTCACTACTATAACAGTCAAACACTGCACAGTCCTTCCTTCACCAGGTAAGCATAGTCAATGCAATTAGTACCCTATTCCTCGGCGTTAGGGTCTGTATGGCGCGGCGTACGCGCGAGCGGCAGTCAGTAGCCGGGCGTGACGCCCATGAGCAGCGCCTGGTGTGAAGCAAAGTCCGCCACGCGCTGCGCCACGCTGCGCTTCGCCGTCAACCGCTCCGCCGCCTGAAACGTGTAGAAAAATACTTGAGCTATTCAATTCAATTCAAATTGTTTTTATTGTGAACTACGTAGTACTTATTATTTGCTATAATGTCAATGTAAAATGTTGAATATTACAAATATCGAACTGCCTAAGATGGGAAATAAACCTACGACCTTTCGCTTACTGAGCGATTGCATTTCCTACTACTACTACTGCTACTAAGACACTGGATGAACTCGTCGGTAAAAGACGACCCTAAGGCCCTTTTCACACGTCCCGGTTGCCGGCTAACCGGCGCCGGGTATCCGGTGGTGAAGTGTATGGGCATGGTACGTAGCTTTCACATGTTCCGGCGTAATTAATCCGGCATGCCCATACACTTCACGACCGGGTACCCGGCGCCGGTTAGCCGACAACCGGGACGTGTGAAAAGGGCCTAAATCTACCAATAGATAGCGCCGTGTGAAGTTAACTCGCGCAAGTGAAATATTTACAGCACTCTTTAATAATTTTCCGGTATTATATAAAGTTGACTGCGAAAAATTATGTCGATGTTGACAAAGGTGGTGTTTTATTTACGCAAAGCAACCGAGTATTCATTCAACTGATGTGTGTACAAATGGTATTTTCAATCCATAGAAACTTACTTCCAAATTCTAATATAATGTTGTAAAAATGTTCATTTAGCATACTAACAAATTTTATTTAAAATTGTGTGGCTCTTTATCTGTACATTTATCTGTAACTCAAAGGTGACTGACTGACATAGTGATTTATCAACGCACAGCCCAAACCACTAGACGGATCGGGCTGAAATTTGGCATGCAGGTAGATGTTATGACGTAGGCATCCGCTCAGAAAGAACTTTACGAAACTCCACCCCTAAGGGGTGAAACGGGATCCACGCGTACGAAGTCGCAGGCGACCGCTAGTTTTAGATAAATGATTATTATGACCAGCTGCAGGTCTTCATCAACCGCCGAATTCTCGGCATATACTGGCCCGAGAAAATCTCCAACGTCGAGCTATTGGAACGCTGCCACGAAATTCCGATCGACCAGCAGATCAAGCGCCGCAAGTGGAACTGGATTGGCCACACTCTCCGAAGGGACCCCGATCACATACCTAAGCAGGCTCTGGATTGGAATCCTCAAGGAAAACGCAAACGTGGTCGCCCCAGGCAAACTTGGCGGCGCACTGTAGCGGACGAGGCGAAGAAGATCGGCAGGACCTGGAGCGAGATCAAGCGAGAAGCTCAAGACCGAACGAGATGGAGGACTGTTGTGGACGTCCTCTGCCCCATCTAGGGGACATAGGACCATAAGTCAAGTAAGATGATCAGCGGTGCCAGTTGCCATATAGAGTCCTAACTGAAGCCTTACCTGCTGGAACTTGTGTTGGTTTCGTCTCGTGTAAGCTCTTGCATCCCGCAGCATGTCTTGTAAGCGGCCGTCATCGACCTCGTCCATGGCGCACGGGCTCATGAGCGGCGGGTTGAAGCGGAAGTAGTTGCCGCCCGGCAGCAGGTCGTTTAGTACCAGGTGCACACCTGGAATTGTGGACGAAGTGTATTTTATTTACTGTGTGAGGGGAGGTTCAAAATCATTAGATCATTTTCTTTTGGCTAAGATGCGCGCCGTGATAAAATCTTATCGATGATTTTAGACGACAAATGTATGGGTTTATCGCGTAAAATCGATAAAATGCCGCGATAAACGCTTATCACGGCGCACATCCTAGGCTTACTGGTGAAGGAGGTGCACATCATGATTATAATGATGTTAAATACTGGCACGTAGGTCACAAATGAGAGACACCATTATTTTCTCTAACTCTTATAATGTGAACAGCCAGGTACGTAATTCGCTGCCCGCTGTTGTCATTACTGTACATTATAATCCGGGCATTTTCAAGGCTCACTTATTATCTATACTAATATTATAAAGCTGAAGAGTTTGTTTGTTTGTTTGTTTGTTTGTTTGTTTGTTTGTTTGTTTGGTTGAACGCGCTAATCTCAGGAACTACTGGACCGATTTGAAAAATTCTTTTTGTGTTGGATAGCCCGTTAGTTCCTGAAGGCTTTAGGCTATTTATCATCACGCTAAGACCAATAGGAGCGGAGCACCAATCAAGAATATTTCAAATCAGTGATTTTTTTCCTTTTGAGAGCTGACGCTGCGTAAACGGTTAAAGTTTCGCAAAAATCATGTATGACAGGATTGTTCCCCTTTAAAAGTTCTTTAAAAAAGTCCGCGGTAGCATATGTCTATCTTTTAAGGTTGGCTCATAGTAACCATTTTTATGCAAAAAAAATCTGTTTTAAAATAATGCATTATTTGCGAAGGTGTTTTTATAAACATGATATTAATCCTTATCCAAATAAATAAATTATTCACCACAAGTATTTAATTTTAATTATTCTTGCCCTTTACACCATTCGATTTCAATAAATATCTTAGGAGATATCGCAGTTTTAAAATCACATCGCAGCAAAATAATGATCAAGTACTACGCGCGCTACTGATGGATCAATGCACAGGATTTTCCAAAATTCTACCCCTAAGGAGGTAAAAAGGAGGGGCAAAGTTTGTATGAAATAACGAGATTCCTTCGTCCAATCTACTTAAAATTTTGCATAAGCATTCTATAACAGAATTAATNCAAACTGCGGAAAATGGCGGAGGAAATACATGATTCAGCATGAATTATCATGAATAATATAACCTACTTATTTACCTCTCAGTGTCTTGAGGCAACTTAAAAAAATACATTCTGTGTTTTTATTATTATTTAGGCAGTTAAATACTGCACAGTATTTAGTACACCATTTTCTTTGTTTTCTTCCATCATACACAAGAATACGCGTTCGTGAGTCAATGTTCGCGAGTATGTGAGGCCTTGTCGAATAGTATCCTGTAGGTGGGCCATCGTGCGTGTTTTGTTTTCGATGTAAACTCGCGGAGATGAACACGCCTGATACTACTTACCATGTTTATTCGCAAATAAAGTAATCATTATGATCAGCGGTGCCAGTTGCCATATTAAGCCCTATATCCGTACCTGCTGGAACTTGTGTTGGTTTCGTCTCGTGTAAGCTCTTGCATCCCGCAGCATGTCCTGTAAACGACCGTCATCGACCTCGTCCATGGCGCACGGACTCATGAGCGGCGGGTTGAAGCGGAAGTAGTTGCCGCCCGGCAGCAGGTCGTTTAATACCAGGTGCACACCTGGAATTATTAGAATTGTGTTTTATTTACTGTGGGAGACGGTTCAAAGTCATTCGATCATTTTCTTTTACGTGGTGTTCTGTAGGGCTGGGATGCGCGCGCGATTATCAATGATTTTAGATGACTAACGTATTATCACGTAAAATCGATAAAATGCCGTGGTAAATGCTTATCCACCTACAAGGTGGACCGACGACATCGTAAAGGTAGCAGGGAAGCGCTGGACGCAGGCCGCTACCAATCGATCAACATGGAAAGCATTGGGGGAGGCCTATGTTCAGCAGTGGACGTCCTATGGCTGAAATGATGATGATGATGATGATGAAATGCTTATCACGACGCACATCCTAGGCCTGCTGGTGAAGGAGGAGCACGTCATGATTATAATGATGTTAAATACTGGCACGTAGGTCACAAATAAGAGACACCATTATTTTCTCTAACTCTTATAATGTGAACAGCCAGGTACGTCATTCGCTGCCTGCTGTTGTCATTACTGTACATTATAATCCGGGCATTTTCAAGGCTCACTTATTATCAGGTACAATCGTGATCAAATACATGACTTGTTAAATATAAAAAAAACATCGGTTCGATCGTGTTCGACTTACGCTGGTTCCAATCCTAATCCAAATCTGTCCATTGTCTCAATGTTTTTGGTAAAAATATCTGCGGTTTTCGATGTTCTTACATTTTCATTTTGTTTAACCCTTCATTTGGCAGTGATGCTTTTAAGCAACAACCACTTTGAATATTTCTACAGGACCTAATAATAAGTTTTGTGCAAATCTTTCGATTTTGNTATAAGAAAAAAATATTTTCATGTTTATTTAACCTGATTTTTATTCAAACATTTAGATAATAACGTTAAAACATTTAAAAATAATCGTATGAGAACGTTTTCGACTTCTCCACGGACGAAGTCGCGGGCAAAAGCTATTTGTAAAATAATTAGACTAAATTATTAAAAGTGCCTACCCAAAGTCATTATTCCACGCGGACGAAGTCGCGGGCACAGCTAGTCAGGTATAATCGTGACCAAATACATGGCTTGTTCAATATAAAAAACATTGGTTCGATCGTGTTCGACTTACGCTGGTTCCAATCCTAATCCAAATCCGTCCATTGTCAAATTTCAATGTTTATGGTCAAAATATCTGCGGTTTTCGATGTTTTTACATTTTCATTTTGTTTATAAAGACTATTTGAACAATATTAAAGCGTAAACGCATCAAATATTTTGGATGTTTAATCTAAAAGTAAATTAAATTTGACTTTTTAAATCCGGATTTGGACCCTTGTCCAAGGATTGAATATTGGAAACGGGTGTTAGGGAAAAATAGCTCGATTCAANCCCGAAGAGCAGCTTGGCCTCGTGCAGGCCCACGCCCGTCGGGTTGTTCACCATGATGCCGCCGTCCTGTGTTAAAACACCAATAAATAACTCAAAACTCTTAAGTCATTTTATTTTTACAGATAGGCTTTTAATAAAAAGCACATTTCATGGGCGAAATTATGGACGAAACACACTTATTAATTCAGAAACGGATCGTGACCGTATCGATTCGAGGCGGTCAGTGTTCTTTGTAAACTCCGTCCTACGACACACGCATATCCGCAGCGTAACATGAACGCTTTGTCTTGCGGTTGACAGCACAGCAAAAGGCGATACAGTGTTGATCCCTTTCTAGGTTGATTTTACTAATTTGATTTGATTTTAATAATTATGGGGGCTATGTCGGACGATTTGGTGAAGGTCACGGGAAGTGCCTGGATACGAGCGGCGCAGGACCAGTAGAAATCCTTGGAGGAAGGCCTTTGTCCAGCAGTAGGAGTCATTTGGCTGCAACGCACGAAGTGCTATTTAAACAGTCTAATGCAACCAAATAAATGTTGTCTCGCCTGACCTGGTGCAGCAGTCCATCGAGTCGGAACTCGTCGAAGTACGTGGGCGCGGCGGCGGAGGCGCGCACGGCGTGCCAGAGCCGCGCGCGCGCCGTGCCCGGGAACACGGAGCGCACGCGGAACCCGCACTCGTAGGAACGGAACAGGAACGGAGACAGCCGCGCGCCCGAGTTCACCACGCATGATACTAACGCCATCTGTGAAACACAATACTGTTATCAGCACACTCAATCTCTCTTTCACTCCAAGAACACATTAGAAGGATATGGTATGACCTACTCTCTCCACCCTGCGGACCTGGTCAGATAGGATTCGCACATTTAAAGCTTAATCGCTTTAGAATAGTTATCTACGGGATTCCTATGATGTACTTTTCGATATTCGTCGGCCGTTTGGTGTAGTGGTTCAGAACGGACTACTATGCCGAGAGGTCCCGGGTTCGATTCCCGGCCGGGCAAAAATTGAAATAATGAATTTTAATTGCTGTGACGGGTCTGGGTGTTTTCTATGTATTAAAAAAAAAGTATATAAGTAAATATGTTTATCCCGTCGTCTAGTACCCATAGTACAAGCTTTGCTTAGTTTGGGACTAGAGGCGCAGTGTAAAATGTCCAAGGATATTTATTTATTATTGTTTATTTATTTATTGTCTGCGATGTTTCAGCACTGTTGTAAGCGTGATAATAGCCACGATAGCCAAGCGGTGAAGGGGTCGGACTGGCCGACTCGTAAATACTCGTAATCCAGGGAACGTGAGTTTGGTCCCTGACGCTACTCGACTATAATTGTGGTGAGCTCACGAGCATATTTAGTTAAATTTATGACGATCTGTGAGTCACCAAACTAAATTTCACGCGGGTAAAAGATAGTTAAATCATATGCAAACGTCATTCCGTGTGCCAGAGGCTAACGTCAATAACCCAAACGAGGCAGACAGGTGTTTTCTATTAATACGTGCATCAATTATGACGTGCTATTACCTAGTGCCAAATAAATGCATTTTTCGAACATTACTCTGATCGAACCACAATCGTCACGGAAGCGTGTAAATCGTCGCGGAAGCGTGTAATACATATTTTCTTCGAAGTAGACAGGTGTAATAACATTAATTCCCCTTGTCAATTTATTCTGTACAATTCGCAATTAGATTATTTTCCTGCTAGAGATCCAAATTCAAATTAAAATTCTTTATTGCTCCAATGTTGGTATATAAAAGATCAATAAAGTTATGCAACGCCTATTAGTTGCTTGTCATGTCTACGTCATCTAGATACCAGATGGCAATTCGTTGGCAAGTAGATACTGTTTAAAATTAAAATTATCTTTCGTATTTCTTCCAAGAAAACAGTGGCTTTTTGACACACTCAATTATGAACAGTTTGAAATAAATGACTGACAGTTTTCGAAAAAAAAAGGCAAAGGCAAAATCAGGCATCAGATCATCATCATCATTTCAGCCACAGGACTACTGCTGAACATAGGCCTCCCCTAATAATTTCTATATCGCCCGGTCGATAGCGGCCTGCATCCAGCGCCTTCCTACTACCTTAATGAGGTCGTCGATCCACCTTGTGGGTGGTACTAGATCGGGGTTAGATAATCATGCTTATGTAGATATAAATAGGGTCCATAACGATTGTCGGCCGCAAGCAGCAGGAGTGCGTCCACACTCCACAGNACCGAAGAGCAGCTTGGCCTCGTGCAGGCCCACGCCCGTCGGGTTGTTCACCATTATGCCGCCGTCCTGTGTTCAAAAACCAATAAAAACTCAAAACTTATAAAAGTAATTTTATTTTTGCAGATAGGCTATAAAAAGCACTTTTCATGGACGACATTATGGACGAAGCACACTTAGCAACTCAGAAACGGATCGTGACCGTATCGTCTCGAGGTAGTCAGTATTCTTTGTATGAAACTCCGTCCTGCGACGCACGCGAATTCACAGCGTGACTCGCCAAACGTTGGTCTCGAAGCGCCGGTAGGGTAATCTTTTAGATTATGAGACTTATAAAAGCTCTTTATTTTAGTTTTATATTTGACGATTCGTAAGTGCTCGTGTGATCGAATCTAAAATGAGGAGATCCGCAGGAGAACCAAAGTGACCGACATAGTCCACAGAATTGCTAAAATTAAGTGACAGTAGACGGGGCACATAGCTCGCAGAGCTAATCGCTGCTGGGACAGTAAAATTCTCGAGTGGCGACCACGGGCCGGAAGGCGTAGCGTGGGCAGGCCTCCCACTAAGTGGACCGACGATCTGGTAAAGGTCGCAGGAGGTGCCTGGATGCGAGCAGCGCAGGACCGGACGTTGTGGAAATTCTTAAGGAGGCCCTTGGCAGTGGACGTCTTGGCTGAAACGAACTACAATTTAAAGTCTATGCAGATAATGAAATGTTAACTTTTCTGACCTGGTGCAGCAGTCCATCGAGTCGGAACTCGTCGAAGTACGTGGGCGCGGCGGCGGAGGCGCGGACCGCGTGCCACAGCTGCGCGCGCGCCGTGCCCGGGAACACGGAACGCACGCGGAACCCGCACTCGTAGGAACGGAACAGGAACGGAGACAGCCGCGCGCCCGAGTTCACCACGCATGATACTAACGCCATCTACAAACAAACGACTGTCATCAGCACACTCAATCTCTCTTTCACTCCAAGAAAGAACACATTAGTTAAAGTACGGCCAACTGGCAGCGATACAAAAGGTCGGTACGACTTTCGAGTTGACAATATATTCTGTCTCTTCCCATTTTGTGTATTTGTCGTAATGAGCGTCGGGTGATGTTTGCAGTTCGCTCCTTTATTAATTAGGTAGTTGATAATTTTTCTTTTGTCACTTTGTTTACTTTTTTTTATATAAGTTTATATTTTTCACAACAAAATTTTATTCATAATGGTTTGCCCAACTTTATGTGTATATTCAACTGTGGAAACTTAATTGGTTTGTGTTTTCTTAATGCACCTAAGTTAAATTATATTGTAACTGTATGTTTCCCAAAAATAAATAAATAAATAAATGTGTCGTTCTCCCGCCAAAATATTTCAAAGTCAGACGGGTTCACCCATGACATTAGGTTTGTTTACATTTGTATCGCTTCTCGTTGGCCGTACATTAGAAGGATATGGTATGGCCCACTCTCTCCAACCTGCGGCCTATCTGGCCTCATATTCGCATATTTAAACCTTAATCGCTTTAGAATTAAATCTACGGGATTCCTATGATGTACTTTTCGATCTTATGTCTGCGATGTTTCAGCACTGTCGTAAGCGTCATAATAGCCACGATAGTCGAGCGGTGAAGGGATCGGACTGGCCGACTCGTGATCCAGGGAACGCGAGTTTGGTCCCTGCCGCTACTCGATTATAATTGTGGTGAGCTCACTCGTGACACAAGCATATTTAGCTTAATTTATGACGATCTGTGACAAACTAAATTTCACGCGGGTAAAAGATAGTTAAATCATATGCAAACGTCATTCCGTGTGCCAGAGGCTAACGTCAATAACCCAAACAAAGCAGACAGGTGTTTTCTATTAATAAACGTGCATCAAATTATGACGTGCTATTACCTAGTGCCAAATAAATGCATTTTTCGAACATTACTCCGATCGAACCACAATCGTCACGGAAGCGTGTAATACATATTTTCTTCAAAGTAGACAGGTGTAATAACATTAATTCCCCTTGTCAATTTATTCTGTACAATTTGCAATTAGATTATTTTCCTGCTAGAGATCAATAAAGTTATGCAACGCCTATTAGTTGCTTGTCATGTCTGCGTCATCTACATACCAGATGGCATTTTGTTACTTGCCAACGTTACTGCCAATGATACCGTTTAAAATTAAATTATCTTTCGTATTTCTTCCAAGAAAACAGTGGTTTTTTGACACACTCAATAAAGTTAAAAAATGTTTCCCATTTCAATATTTTTGAAAATACCTACAGCAAAGACTAGTGAAGTAATAAATAGCTCAAAGAAAAACAGTTTGAAACAAATGACTGACAGTTTTCGAACAAAAAAGTCGGAGGCAAACTGGTCTGGTACCAGATCGGACTTGGATAATCACACTTATTTGGATATAAATACCCTATTTATCCGCATTCAGCAGAAGTGCGTCCACACTCGGGTACCTTGGGCGAGTTGTGGCGGTTGCACTGCGTGAGCGTGCAGTCGCCGAGGTTGTCGCGCAGCAGCCGCTCCCAGGCCGCGGTGTCGTAGTACGAGTGCGTCCACACTCGGGTACCTTGGGCGAGTTGTGGCGGTTGCACTGCGTGAGCGTGCAGTCGCCGAGGTTGTCGCGCAGCAGCCGCTCCCAGGCCGCGGTGTCGTAGTACGAGTGCGTCCACACTCGGGTACCTTGGGCGAGTTGTGGCGGTTGCACTGCGTGAGCGTGCAGATTAGCACGGCACTAAAGAAATTTATTCAAAACTGCCACGCGGTCTCGTGCTAGATGGGCGTCTTAAAGGCCACCTTCTATCAACGGGAGCGCGTGGTAAGTAACTTGCTTCTGAATGTATGTAACTTCCTACTTTTTTATTTTTAAACCGGCAGACAGTGGTGACTGAGTTTGTTGCGGCGCTTCTTCTCAGCACTTGCCAAATGTTTGTCTCGAAGCGCTGGTAGGGCAAAAAAAGAATGAGACATGTATAGGCTCCTTAAGAGCATTTGACGATTTGCAAGAACTAATTTAATTAGTCTAAACAAATAAAGATAATTTTGATTTTGATTTTATAATGAAATCTATTTGTTTGCACCTTTTATCTTTCCGTATGACGTCAGGACAGTCGACATAATATCTAATAAGATACGAGCTTATCTTTGTTGTTTTACAACCTTTCTCTAAACAACGCCATATAAAGATATCCAAAGTATAAATAAATATGAATTATGTTCTTGCGCATAATATTTTGTCAGTTCTTGCGCATAATATTTTGTCAAACTAGCAATCAAAGTTAAGTCAAACAAGAGCTATAACATTCCCAGTTGCAATCTAACCCCCGAACACCGTTTAAGTTTCAATCATTGGTCCTTCGAGCCGGACACGTGATGACGCGACTCACCGATGACGGCGGCGATGATGGCGCCGGTGCTGACGCCGACGATGTAGTCGAAGAGCTGGTGCACCTTGCGGCCGGCGAGGCGCTCGAGCGTGCGCAGCAGCTCGATGGCGATGATGCCGCGGATGCCGCCGCCGTCCAGCGCCAGCACGCGCGGCCCGCGCCCGCCCGGCGCGCCCGAGTACCCCACCAGCGCCAGCGCCTGCCCACACCCCACCGTTAACTTAATAGACCAACAACCATGAGCTGTCGAACGACACCGATTTTAAGATTTTATACTTTCGCGTTCCATTTCAACTAAAATAGTAAGACACGGGTCTTAACGCGACGTTTATTAATGAGTTACATTATATTAATGAGCCCGAACGGACGACGCCGCGAACCGCCAGTCTGCTTGTGACCACGGCTGCAGCTTCGCAGCCGAAATGTCAAGCGTGAGTACATAATGTAACTCATTAATAAACCGTGGCAGCCTAACCTAGTCCTAGGACAAAATATGTATGTATGTATGTATACCCCTTGTATTTGTGTCTGTCTTGTTGGTTGTCCTAAATAAATAAATACCTATAATAAATCTCTGAACCGGTCACCGCGTTTCTGAAGCACTATTTCTCATAAACATTCACGATTTCACTAACGTTAAATCTGAAAATTTTAGCGTGCCACTAAGTGCCTCTGAACAGTCAAAACGGTTCTGTTTGACGTGACGGCGACGGCACCACACATCTCTTTTTATCACAGAGTGTGGCTGCTAGTGACATCTCGCTCGCTCAGTTCTTTGTTGCTTTATTTCGCTAGGTATCCCACATTATGCATCTCACACACAATACTGTACTCCTTGCTGACAACTAATGGTTACGTTCCACGGTTATTTGTACCACGAGATGCAAGACTATCAAACATTTCTACCCAATGTTACCCATCATGATTATCATCCCAACAATTTTGAAGAATCTTGTCGCTAAAGAAAGAAAAGACTATGACGTACTTTTGTTGCAAAAATAAATATCTAAGAAAGTGAAGAAAAGAAATGGAAAACGTTAAGTAAAAAATTGATTGATATCGAAAAATAAGATACAAGAAAAGACTTTCTGTGACATATGTGATAATGATGCGAGAGGAAGATTTTTCTGTACCAAACTTGATCGCTAATATCTATCACGCCGAACCCACGCGGGGAGGTTTGTTTTTATTTATACTATCTGGAATAAATCACACAATATGAGAATGTTTAACGTGTAAACTCACCTCGTTAACCATTCCATCGATTTCTTTGGTAGCGGGCGTGTCATCGTTCAGCTTTGACCGAACTCGCAGAAGTGCTCTTACTGCGCCTTCCTGTCAACAAACAATAAACAATCATAAGGTTATCAGTATAGATTTTTTTTTCGGAAGGTACCTACGATGGAATTTACATGCGTATACTATTAAGGGTAGATTCGACCAAACAAGAGTAAATATTAATCTCAGAATAAGTCAGTTATTCGACATTTTGACATATTTCCCATACTGAAACAGCCACTGAAATATACCAGTCATACCAGGAGTTGGTGACCACGGGCTGGAAGACGTAGCGTCGGCAGACCTCCTACTAGGTGGACCGATGATCTGGTAAAGGTCGTGGGAAGAGCCTGGATGCGGGTAGCGCAGGACCGTTCATTATGGAAAACCTTGGGAGGCCTTTGTTCAGCAGTGGACGTCATTTGGCTGAAACGAACGAACGAACGAACCAGGAGTTATTCTCGGATAAAAGTTTGGTCGAATCGGGCTTATACGGTCGGCCGTTTGGTGTAGTGGTTCAGAGCGGACTACTATGCCGAGAGGTCCCGGGTTCGATTCCCGGCCGGGCAGAAATTGAAATGATGAATTTTAATTTCTGTGACGGGTCTGGGTGTTACTATGTATAATATGTATGTATTTAAAAAAAAAAAGTATATAAGTAGTATATCCGTTTAGCTAGCACCCATAACACAAGCATTAAGTTGCTTACGGTTCTATATTGGCTTACATAAAATTCTAAATCCTATTCTTTGTCTTACTACCGATTTGTGTTCATAATAATCTCTCTTCATAATTTTATTTTTCATACTTTTTTTATTCATAGATTTTTATTACTACCATCGGAGCTCCTAACAGTTAGTAATCATAATTTTTTTTATCAATACTGTTACTACCAAGAACCATTTAAAATACATAATTTTTATTTTCAGATCTTTTTTCTTCATAACATTCATTGATCATATTGTTTTAATTAATAATGTTGTTACTAAGAACATACTTCAACTCATAATGTTGTTGTTCAGAATAATTTACTTTATAACAGACATACTCGTATCTTTAAAAAAATCATATATAATTTAATAGAGTAGATAAACATGCAGAGCATGCAGCATGCATTGGTATCTCCTCGTCTCCGGCGCTGCGGGATGTGCAGCCCTTCCGCCCTTGCGTAACGAGCTTCGTTACAGCGGGCGAGGGCTNACGAACGAACGAACGAAACTCAATTATCATACTTGTTCACAGGGGTAGTGACTTTAAAAAGGTTAGGAACCACTGTGTTAGACGAAACCGATTTTGGTGTTGAGTTGTGTGTCAGTTCGTTCGTTTCAGCCAAATGACGTCCACAACTGGACAAATGCCTCCCCAGTTTTCCATAATGAACGGTTCTGCGCTGCCGCGATCTTTGCCAGATCGTCGGTCCACCTAGTAGGAGGCCTGCCCACGCTACGTGTGTGTCAGTATCAGGATTATTTCACTGTTTTGTACAATAAATGCCGTGGCAGCCTAACCTAGTCCTAAGACGAAATAGGTATGTAAACCCCTTGTATTTGTGCCTGTCTTGTTGGTTGTTCTAATTAAATAAAAATAAATAAATCACTGAACCGGTCACCGCGTTTCTGAAGCACTATTTCTCATAAATCGTGAATGTTTATGAGAAATAGTGCTTCAGAAACGCGGTGACCTGAACGTAAAATCTGAAAATATATCAGAATTCTAACTTTCAGCGTGCCATTAGGTGCCTCTGAACTGTCAAATAGTTGCAAAAAACGGTTCTGTTTGACGTGACGGCACCACGTATCTCTTTTTATCGCAGTGTGGCTGCTAGTGACATCTCGCTCGCTCAGTTCTTTGTTGCTCTATTCCGCTAGGTATCTTAACTTTATGCAACCCACACACAATGCTGTACTCCTCGCTATACTACAGACGACTAAAAATGGTTACGTCACACGGAGATTTGTACCACGAGGTGTGACACTTTAAAGAACATTTCTACCCAATGATACGAGATTATCATCTAACAATTTTGAAAAATCTTGTCGCTAGGGAAAATACTACTTTTATCGCAAAAAGAAATATTTGAGAAATTGAAAACGTTAAGTAAAAAAAAATTGATTGATTATCGAAAAATAAGATACTAAACGGATAAGATGATGCGAGAGGAACATTTTCTGTGACAAACTTGATCGCTAATCTCTATCACGCCGAACCCACGCGAGGAGGTTTCTTTTTATTTATAGTTACTATCTGAAATAAATCACACAATATGAGAATGTTTAACGTGTAACCTCAGATCATAGTTTCTATGATCTGAGCGTGTAACTCACCTCGTTAACCATTCCATCGATTTCTTTGGTAGCGGGCGTGTCATCATTCAACTTTGACCGAACTCGCAGAAGTGCTCTTACTGCGCCTTCCTGTCAACAAACATAAACCAATCATAAGGTTATCATGTGTTTTTTTCGGGAGGTACGACGGCATTTACATGCGTAAGGATGCATTCGACCAAACAAGAGTAAATATTAACCTCAGAATAAATCGTCAGTTCCGACATTTTGACATTATTTCCCATACTGAAACTGCCACTGAAATGTGCCAGTTATACCAGGAGTTGGCGACCACGGGCTGGAAGTCGTAGCGTGGGCAGACCTCCTACTAGGTGGACCGATGATCTGGTAAAGGTCGTGGGAAGAGCCTGGATGCGGGTAGCGCAGGACCGTTCATTATGGAAAACCTTGGGGGAGGCTTTTGTCCAGCAGTGGACGTCATTTGGCTGAAACGAACGAACGAACGAACCAGGAGTTATTCTCGGATAAAAGTTTGGTCGGACCGGCCTTATACCTTGATCGCGTAGTCCCGGGCTTCGGGGTACTGGTGCAGGTGGTCGATGAAGTGCTCGGCGCGCTTGCGGCGGCACTCGGCCGTCTCCGCCGTCACCAACGCCGAAATCACGTACGCCGTGCGAGAGTGGATCGACGTCTGCAACAACAGTTGCGACTCAAGATGTTATATCCCTTTAATCTTCCAAACTTTTTTTTTTTATGCATAACAAGGCAGGTATTTGACCACAATCGCACCTGATGTTAAGTGGGATGCAGTCTAGGATGGTACATATCTGCCCTGTAAATGCTTATTCACTCTCGCCTTGAAGAGGCCCGGATTATAGTTTTCGGGAAAGACAGCAGCAGGCAACGAATTCCAGTCCCTAGCTGTTCGCATTATAAAAGAGTCATCGAAACGCTTAGTGCGAGCTGGTGGAATGTCAACAATATAGGGATGGTACGCTAACCTGCGTCTGGTTCCCCGATGATGGAAGGGGGCTGGTGGAATTGTAAGGGTGGGACCCCTTACTAGCGTCTTTCGAACGTTGTCGTTTGCCCAGCGGCTTTTTTGGAACAAGTAACGCAACGCTGCGCAGGTGCTGGCGAGACAAAGACGTTCGAAAGATGCTAGTGTGAGGGAGGCTTTGCTTAGGCCCTTTCTACGAGCTTGGGAAAGCTCGCTAAATCGTGGATCCCATAATTTAATGAACCACTCGTGTGAGATAAAACTAGCCCGGCGATGCAGAGAAACACCTAGCAATCAGTGAGAGTTGAATGATAATTCTGAAAATAATTGGACTCTCTGTAGCCCACTAGCACAAAAACTTGCTCATTTCGACATAAGAAATCTAAGAAAGCATTCTTGTTTTTTTTAATCACACTTTCTAGAGAAAGGTAGACCTTTTCAGCGCATTTTTAATTGGTTATGCGCTCTGCCTTTTCAGCGTATTTTTATTGGTAATGCGAACATTTTAATAACACTAGGTTCGTTTAACGAATCTGTTTGTGTACTACAGTAAGAAATAAAGATGTCAGGCTTTAAATTAATGTAATAGTCTTAAATTAAATCAGATTGTGGATGGTAGAGGAGTCAAGGTTGCGCGTTAGAATAATAACCAGTGCGTGTGTGAGCGCCGCGTTTTTTTGCGCTGGATTTTATTATCAACTGCGTTTCGAGGTCAAGTGAGTTATCATGTTTGTAAATATTCAATATTAGGTTTAGGTATTAAAATATCTAACACATACGTGTAACTGAAAACAGTCAGAAGTAAATAAGAAAAACAAATTACATAAAAATTTCTACTTTAGAATTTCTCAGCAAGTTATTTTCATTTAACTAAAATATGATGTAACTTTGTACCTATTTTAATGCTAAGTGTAATTGCCAATAAATTTTGATTTTTTTGTATCATTTAATATTTATCTCTTTATGGAATCTATATTTTATTTGAATATTTAAATAATAGATTTTGGTGAGGGCCAGAAAATAAGGGAGCCTAGGACCCTGTGCCATTACAATATCACTCCACAGCTCTGCATCATTGGGTTTTCAATCTTATGAACATCACAAACTGCTTATTAAAACTACATCATACTAATTATAGTAAACTTGAATGAATGAATGCAATAACTAAAATAAATTATCATACAACCTCTGTATGTTACACTAAAAATTATTGAGTATTGAATAACTTATTAATACATTCATTTCAATAAAGATTTACTGATAGTTTATCACATCAGCTGTTTTGTTTGTTCCAAGTAATGTAATGTCAGTGATCGTTTACCCAACACTTTCTCTGAGACGTGATACAAGAGTGGCTCGGAGATGCAAGCATTTATTTACGTAGATAGCATGATAAAGAAAGCCATAATCTTTCAAAACATATGCATATCATTCCATATTATTGACATTATCAGCATATTATAATAAGTTTATCTAATCCATATGACCTAAAAACAAATAACAATTTTTTTCAGTTATGTCCAGGTGAAGGCATTCTTTCTTTTTTTGACCATTCCAATATTTTTAATTATGCATAAATACTTCAAATTAATTGTGTCTTATAGAAACTTTAAAAAGACTAAAAATAATTGATTTTGTTTAGAGTTAAGTTCGCCTTAGTTTTAAAAAAAATCTGTTTATTGTAAATAAAGTACTGTAACCTCCTAGATTAAAATTAATCAATTAATTGTTAGTGAATGAATCACTTTTTTAAGTGTTACTACATTATTATTTAAAATAATGTTTTAGTCTACAATAATAAAAAAAAAACAATACCTAATTTGGAAATAAGCATACCTTGGTGACAATAGGTTTGTTGTTTTTCCAACTGGAATCTGAAATTTTTCCAAAATGCAGATCTTTTTTCAGCTTCAGCCCCTGCAGGAACCCCTCGAAGGTGATCTCCTTGGCCTCCGAGCCCACCGTCAGCGCCTCCTGTGACACTTTCTGATCAGCCTTCTCACTCTTCTCATTATTAGCAAGTTTGGTTTCCGTACCTTCAACCGTAGTGGCATTTGCTACATGTTTTGTCGTGGTCTGTTCGGTCTCTTTCAGTTTAGCGGACACAACATTTTCAATTTTCTTTATTAATTCTGCAAAACAAAATTAAGCAATGATACACAGAAAAATTAGAATTATAAAAAATCATCCCTCTAGTTCAGTAAATGGTTGTTCGATTTATGCTTGGTTGTGGATTTTAATTCAATTACTAACATCAAAGTGAATGCATCGCACTTACGATCCCATTGCTCGGGTGTAGCAGGCTTGATTTTCTGAACCAACTTTTCAACTTCAGCATTCAAGTTTGTCAGGGAGAGGTAGTGCCGTATGACCCGCCACTGGCTCCCGAGCGAAGACATCTTCGGCTAGTTTATTGACGACTCTTCTAGATCTCTCTAGCACTCATACGATGGACTTAAATAAGTTCAATACTGCCTGTGTTAGTAAACAACACAGAACACCGTGGGTACAACACTGCACGCTTATAACAGGTAAAGATTAATCTGAATACTTGCGATATCACAAGTACCACCACAAAACACAGTCACTATTGTACAATTTCACATAAAACTGAGTTAATAAACCTTGGCAAAAATCGCAAAATATAAATAAATCGATGACAGTTCAAATGACGTAAAATCGGACGATCAGTGCTGCCAACATAACCACCGCACAATAACAAATCACCATTCACTTTCGTTTTCGGTGTAAGATTTGGGTCAACAATAAAAAAAACACTTCGGTAAATTCAACTTAGGAGTTACCTCTGTAAGCTCTGAACAATTACTAGTTCAGCTGAAAGTAATCAGTAACATTTTATACTAATGTCAAAACATGTTTTGCGAGAGCAATGAGATTGACTGCGCGTTAGGTGTGTGACTCGCAAACGCGCGACGATATGAAATGACGATGTTGGCTATACGGCGCCACACCTCCACCGCGGCTCAATGAAAACACAGCGAAACGTAAACAAACATCGTATGATCGTGTTTTGTAACCGATCCAAGGAAAGACTTCCGCGTCGCATCATACCGCCCAATAAGATCTAAATTACAATGTATTCATTAGTATTATGATTTTATACATTTTGAAGGATACCTACTTACCATTTTTCCGAACTTTTTTCTAAAAATGATTTCTTTTCCAGTTATTATTATTTTCAGAAGAAAAAAAGAATAAATTCATATTTCCTTATTACCCACCACAGATATCTGTGTTACCCACACTTACTACTTATTCTCAAAGAAAGTTCTTTTATTGAAGGTAAGTTTAAGTTATTATAAGAAATACTAGAATTAATCGAACGTATTTTATTTTTAGAAGTAGAGCGGACATTAGCATCGAGGTCACCGGGTAGCTGTGTACCTATGTGCTACGTGCAAAATAACCAAACCGTTATCATGTTTTGCTCTTTTGTTATTATCAAAGCAATTCGTCATACAGAAACCACGCATGCTCATTTCTGTTGCATGTTTGTGCCCCAGCACCCACGTGCTAGAGCTGTAACAGCAGTAAACAACAACAGAACATAACTCTCAAAAACAGTTTGTTTGTTATTGTTCGTAGTTTAGTTGGCACAAGCGCATTTAAACCAGTTGACCGTTAAAAAAACTAATAAATATTAGCTAGTTCTTTACTTTGCACTGTTTATCATATTTTATTTAAATGGTTAACCAACCTGATATTTGTACAATAGAAAATGGGTCTTATCTAAATATATAAAAGGAGAAACTGACTGACTGACTGACAGATCAACGCACAGCCTAAACTGCTAAACGTAGGCACTTGAAATTTGGAAGGGACGTAGCTTAGGTACCGTAGAGGTGCACTAAGAAAGGAATTCCCGAAATTCCCACGGGAACGGGAATTAGCGGGAAAAACGGGATTCACGCGTACGAAGTCGCGGGCGACCGCTAGTTAGTTCTATTGCTTTTTGTGGATTCCGTGGAGATAAGTATTCCTGTAATCAGGTTTCAAGACGCCATCGTGTCCAAAGCTCGGTGGTAACTTTGGATAAGTGCTCGATGCGCGCTCAATAAATATATTCATCACTTCATTGACTGCACTTTAAAACACAAAATAACGCCAGATTTGCTAATAAATATATAATGGTTTTACATTAAAGCAGACCGAACCGGGCGATCGCGCTTTCCATTAATCAACTACCCTCTCGAAATCCCCGAAAATTTAAAATCGGTAAGTTGGCAATTCTGTAACGAAAATACGAAATGTCAAGTTTTTTTTTCTGGGCATGCACATCCGTGCATGTACGGCTTGTATTATTACATATTATTATTTTAGATTAATATATTACTATTTTACGTCTTTAGGCTTAATATTTTGGAAACGATAAGCCACTAAAGAACGGGTAAGTTAGTATAATTTTCTGACTGTTTATTTAAGACATTTCAAAATAAAATGGTGAGTCCATACAAAAAACAATTCTGAATAATACCCGTATAGTGTAGTAGTATAATCAACCTAAACTATTCTCAACTCAATTGGAAGATTTTAACACATCAACATCGTGCATTTGCGGAAAACGAATAAAAGGAAACCTATGGAGGAAACGTATAAACACCGCACCGGTTTTGATATAAATAATCCCACTTTGAAAAAAAAAACAACGATTTAATTAAAATATTGTTATAATTTGCACAAACAAATTTATTATAAATAACTGTAAGTATAATTTATTAAATAAATAAAGTTTACTAAGTACCTACATAATACATTTCTTTAAATAAAGACCAGTGTTAATGCTAAGGTTGTACCGAGATACGCCTCATAAATATTTGTTTTAAGTATTTTGTCGAGCTTCTTTTGTGATTCAATGGACAATTTGACACCATTCTCCAATAATTCCAAATCACAACTTTTCTAAAAAGACACTACAATCTGGTCTTAAAAACTTAATTAATTTTAAATTATCTGTAAATTACGATTTTTGGTCGCATTTTAATCGAAAAAAGTAGTATAGTTCCAAAATACTGGACTGTCCTGTCGATGACATTGACAGTGGGGCGCCACCGTCAATACCGGATCGCTGGTTCCGATTTTTGCCATGTTGGAAACCATATAGTTGAACGATGGTAGCGCCCCCCTGTCATTGAGTTTGGCGGGACAGTTCAGCGTGGGTCATCTATATTATTGAGTTGACAAAATAGTGACGTCACTTGCTTGTAGTGCCATACAAAATCTATGGGAGTTTCGTTTTGACAGTTTTAAAAAGTACGTCAATGAGGGCTATCGTTTTTATACTTAACAGTTGGCACCCCTGGCGATTGACAGGACCTTACTCTACAGTGGCGCTAACTGGTGAGCGCTAAAACGATAGCCCTCATTGATTGGTGGTGTCAATATGTCTATTGTTTTAGATGGTCTGCAGCGTAGCGGCATACTGCTGCAGCGTCTGCACGCGAGCCGCGGCAACACGGGCGCGCTCGCCGCACACGGCTGGATTGATGTGCGCGTTATGTAACTCCGTGATCTGTGTGGCGCACGCCGCCGCCGAGTCACCCGACGACGACAGCTTGCCTATCCTGTTCGCAAAAAAAATAAGAAAAAAATAATAATTAACTTTAAAAAAAAAATAAAACCGACTTCAAATGCGTGAACACAAAAAAAAACTAAAAATTAAAAAAAAGTTCTACCTAAAATTCTAAATCTCTAAAATTAAAAAAATTCGCATGATACCACCCTTTTGATAATACCTATTCAACAAAAAAATAATCGTTCAAATTGGTTCATAATCGGCGGAGATATTGCGTATAAAAAAGTTCATCCCCAATTTTCCACCCTGGGGGGTGAAATATTTTCTTCAAATTCGCATGAAACCACCCTTTTGATAATACCTATACAACAAAAAATAATCGTTCAAATTGATTTATAATCGGCGGAGATATTGCGTATAAAAAAGTTAAAAAAAGTTCATCCATAAACAGGAACACGTGATGTGAACTAACTACTTTGGATGCCACGAACCATTGACGCCTCCCGACTGTACTCGTACAAAAATGTACACCTCGTTGGGCGCCAGTTATTGGCCTGCATTAAAAAAAAAAAGAAATCATGTTTAAAAACCACATCAAAAGTAAAATAAGTTTCTGAAGGTTCATCGGCATGTCACCTTTCATCATGTAAAGTCCGGTTGCCGAGCACGTAGAATTTCTTCCAATGACTCCAAGCTACCCATCTTTATCGCTCGCGCGTAATTATATTGCTGTCGCGACTGTGCGAGCGCGACAGCAATATAATCTCAGCACGCGAGCGATAAGGATGGGTAGCTTGGGGTCATTGGACGAAATTCTGCTCGGCGACCGGACTATAGAAATGCACGTTAACCCTTAACCAGGCTTTGGTGGTAGAGCCTACATCAATTTGAACTTTATGCTGTAAAGACTAGATTGAAATTTTGAAAATCAATGACTTTGCCTGTTTAAGGCTGAGTTGCACCACCTAACTTTGACCGTAACTATAACGATAACCGGGGTTTTAGTATGGAGTTTGACAGATTTTTGACGTTTGTCAAAGTTAAAGTAAGATGGTGCAACCCAGCCTAAGAGTCAAGTCTGTGAAATATAGTCGTATTACCAGAATTCATTCCCGGGGTGTGCATTGGAGTCCCAGGCGTAGGTAAGCACGAGTAGCTTGCCTTCGTGCGCACCGCTCAGCCGTGTGGATGGCTCACGATTCTCTAGTTGCACGTTTAGCCCACCTGGGGAATTAAATGCTCTCATACTTAATTGGATGAATCTAATACTCTCATGCTAAATTATACTAACTATAATTATTGTGATTGAGTTTCATGCGCTGCTTCTTCTCAGTACTGGCCCATTTATTGTTCTGAAGCAGTGGTAGGGTTAATTTTTATAACATACTTCCAAAATTAAAGAGAGTTTTTAATTAACTAGGTAATAGAGGAAGCAATAATGCTCTTTAGAGGAATCAAATGGTCACATGCTCAGTTATCGAAGGAATCGAATGATCTCATGCTCAAATAATAAAGGAATCAAATGGTCACATGCTCAATTATTGGAGGAATCGAAAGATCTCATGCTCAACTAATAGAGAAATCAAATAGTCAGATGCTCAATTATTGGAGGAATCAATGATCTCATGCTCAACTAATAGAGAAATCAAATAGTCAGATGCTCAATTATTGGAGGAATCAATGATCTCATGCTCAACTAATAGAGGAATCAAATGGTCACATGCTCAATTATTGGAGGAATCGAAAGATCTCATGCTCAACTAATAGAGAAATCAAATAGTCAGATGCTCAATTATTGGAGGAATCAATGATCTCATGCTCAACTAATAGAGGAATCAAATGGTCACATGCTCAATTATTGGAGGAATCGAAAGATCTCATGCTCAACTAATAGAGAAATCAAATAGTCAGATGCTCAATTATTGGAGGAATCGAATGATCTCATGCTCAACTAACAGAGGAATCATTATGCTCTCATGCTTAATTATTTTTAGAAAAATCAAATGCTCTCATGCTTACTGCCGATAGTCTTATATTTCAGGGCATGCGTAATTAGTTTTTTCCTTTGAGTAAAAAAAACTTAAAAATATAACGTACTTACCTCTCGGATGTGATTCGTTTTTTATGAATAATTTCTTGCAATCTGGATTCTCTTTACACTCTTTAAAAAATGCTGAAAAATATAAAGTCACATTAAGTTGGTATAGTTCCTGTGTAATTTTAATGTAAAATATTCATTTAGACATCGCATAAAAGATATAAGTCATAATTGTAGGACGCTAAAACAAGACTTTAAATATTTACCCGCAACTTCTTTTCCTGGCTTGATGTAGGCAAAGTTGACGTCGGCCACGTTATCCAGCTGCCCTTCATCCAGGAGCGCCACGATTCTCTCCAGGAACGTCAAGATGTACACGTCTAATTGGTGTCCCGACACCTTCCACAGGCCAAGACCTGAAAACAATAGATAATTTATTGTGTTTCATACTGTATAAGAATATTTATTTCAGTAAAAAGTATACAGTACACTGCCTTATACTATTAGGCGC